TAATTACAATGTTGAAACTGCGGTAACTGACATTGAATTCTGTGTTTTTCCGACAGATTATTATACCAAACTGTGTAAACAAGAACATAACAATTAATGACCTTTTCGTCAAAACAATATGCAACTGAACTCAATACCAGTACATATCCTAACCTCATATTCATACATGCAAATTCAAACAACAAAATTTGACACTAAATAATATTAATATAGCCATAATAAATCTTAACTATACAGGGACAGCACTAACTCGTGTTACAGGCAGGGTTGCCAGATCCCAGCAATAAAAAAAAGCCAAATCAAGACATAAAAAAGCCAACAAAAGCCAAGTACAAAAGAACCATGATTTGTCAGATTTTAAACCCTTGGCACAATAGTGATGTAGACCCATCAGCCATCAGTTTATTTAGTGAGCCACACAAATGTCTTTTCCCATTGAAAGTTGTATTTTAGGTTGCTATCATGGCGATTCGCACTTCAGCAGAAAGAATGGTTCAAAAGTAGAAAGGATTAATTAAATGGCAGCGCCAAAATCTACATACGACACCTGACAATACAGTCAAGATGACATCTATAGAAAAAAGTTTAGAGATATCAAAAAAACAAATAAAAAGAAATATCAAAAGGACAGCATTATTTTACAATTCAATATATATATATATATATACAATACAGCAGGCCTGCCCAACCTTTTTCGTCTCGCGGGCCACTTTCCCATAAGGAAATCCGTTGTGGCCGCAAACGTTTGTACCAAACTTTAATACCAGCTAAGTCCTGATTTTGGCATAATTTACATACCGGTAATACATAAAAGGCAAGTTTGTTAGCGTAGAACCAGTCAAGATAAATATCGTCACGCTAATAACCGAATTGCGTAAGTCATTTTTAGCAGTTTTGAGAAAAACGTAAAAAACTTCCTAATGATATTGTTATGCGATTGAGAATCAATAATTTGCCATGGTTCAATTTTTTTTATCGTAGCCTGATTTGGGTTAATTTGTATGACGCAGTTAAGTGACGTCATAATGGCGCACTGTGACTTAGGCAGAAATGTGTTTAGGACTTGGTGACATACGCAATTTTGCAACTTGACTATATGCACCAGTCCTGGAAACCAAACATTCCAAAAACGAATGTATTTCTCAGTATCTACGATGTCTAATCCCCAAAATAGCTAATCTGTTTCAATTACATTATTTTTTATGTTTAGGAATATATATTTCATATATAACACACTCTGCACACCCACTGAAATAAGACTAAGATGAAATATAAGGAATAAAACAGCAATGCACATTATATATAAGCCAACCAAGGTGAATTGGACTCAGGCAGTGAATATCACAAGTGCACGTCTTCCTATATTGTAGTGTAAATTCAAATTTATAAGCGCTGAGCTAGAATCTGAGATGCAAAAACTCGAAAATACTTAGCCAGGTTATTTTGCTATTGTGACGTCACAATAGTCCTGCTGTAACAATGATAATTCGTTATGACGAAACAATTGCACAAATGTGCATGTCATACAAAATCTCTATTTTTATGGGTTTCGGAATTCTTAAAATAAAATGTGAGTTAACAGACAGGTAGGTGCGCAGCATTACCTAAATACCTATTTTATAAAAAAACTCAAAACCGCCAAAAATGACTTACGCAATTCGGTTATTAGCCTGACGATATTGTACTTTTTTTTTAAATTTATCCAGTGCTAAAATTTTTACATTTACGTACAGATTTTTCTACCTTGCCCAGATACAGTACTTGAATTCCTAAATGACACTCTATATTTCTATATTCTCAAGCAATTGGAATTTATATTCGTTGTTAGATAGATTGTAACAGTTCTACATGTAGCTACGGAAGTACGCTGCATGGTTGTTTAGACGTGAAAAAGATAAACGTCAGGGTATATTGAAATTAGCCTTCCATAAACAGTTTTACTTTACCATAAACTCTCCTATCAAGTATTCAACTCGCTATCGCTCCCTATCGGCATTACAGATCACCATACTGTATAAGAGAGCAATGCTAAAATATATGGCCACGAAAGTCCAATTACCTGACACAGACCGGTACGTTATAGACCTAATTACAAACCAATCGACACCGACCCTGCTAATAAATTCTTATAATATTTAATTTATTATTTGACAACAAAACCACCTACCTTGCCAATCGTCAACATGTCGTGACTGCATACTGCCAGTACCGATATTTCATGCAATTTTGTGTTCACTCTAGATATGGAAGCTCTAGATATAGGTAAATTTATATTTGTGAAAAAAATATTCACTTACCTAAAATAAACAACTTCTTTTATATATTTTTCCCCGCACATGGCGTGGGTTATCGGAATCTGACAATATAAAATTCGGATGTTAAAATAAATGTTAATCTAAAAAACTATATTCTTAACATGAACACGGACAATTGTGTCACGTGACAGAAGCGACCGATGAAGAGTGAGGGTAGAACACAAAACAGAGTTGCAACAAATTGAACTAAATAAGAGAAATTTTATGTGAAATATCGAATCTCAAAGGGCTCAGAGGATATTAATAAAATAAAATTCTATCTCTAAGTAATGAAAGTTAAAAGTTGATTGATCCGTGAGGAACGGAGAAAATTTCCTCACAAATATAGACGCCACGACAACAGCAGCAAAGATTTAGCAAAATCACCCATATGGCATTTTGTTTCCAATTATACATACAAAGCGCTTCCAGATCTAGATGCAACAATTGACAATGAGTTACGTGATATGTTCAATTTTTGTCGATACACTTTTCCATACATCGTCACGCTAATAATCGAATTGCGTAAGTCATTTTGGCGATTTTGAGTTTTTTATAAAATAGGTATTTATGTAATGCTGCGCACCTGTCTGTTAACTCAGATTTTATTTTAGGATTCCGAAACCCATAAAAATGGAGATTAGTATGACATGCACATTTGTGCAATTGTTTCGTCATAATGAAGTATCAGTGTTAACGCAGGACTACTATGACGTCACAAAGGCAAAATAACCTCGGCGAAGTATTTTCGAGTTTTTGCATCTCGGATTTTAGCTTAGCGCGTATTAATTTGAATTTATACTACAGTATAGGAAGACGTGCACTTGTGATATTCACTGTTCGAGTCCAATTCACCTTGGTTGGCTTTTATATTGGGTGCATTGCTGTTTTATTCTTTATTACTTATCGATCTTAAGATCGGTAAGTATGTTGATAGGTATTTGTTTGTTTGTTTGTTTGTTTGTTTGTCTGTTAGATACACGCGATATCTCACGAAACCGAGGTTGAATCTGCTCCAAATTTTGCATGTGCATTCATCATAGTTCGGAACAGGAGCCTATCGATTTTGGATGGATTATATCGTATAATTAGCGAGTTATTAATTAATTAGTGATGGGACACACGGTGTCACTATGGAGTAAGACCACTGTTTTGGGGGATCCCCTAACCTCCGATCGATAAGTCTTCGGTTTCCAACCGAATTCTAGTATTTAATCTTAGTCTTATTTCGGTGGGTGTGCAGAACGTGTTATATTGATGAAATATATATTTTTAAACATAAAAAATAGTGTATTTGAAACTGATTAGCTATTTTTGGGATTAGACATTGTAGATACTGAGAATTACATTGGTTTTTGGAATGCTTAGTTTTCAGGACTGGTGTATATAGTAAAGTTGCAAAATTGCGTATGTCCCCAAGTCATAGACACATTTCCGCCCAAGTCACAGTGCGCCATTATGACGTCACTTAACTGCGTCATACAAATTACCATAAATCCGGCTACGATAAAAAAATTTAACCATGGCAAATTATTGACTCTCAATGGCATAACAATATCATTAGGAAGTTTTTTACCTTTCTCTCAAAAATGCTAAAAATGACTTACGCAATTCGGTTATTAGCGTGACGACATTCTGTTAGTGTGCACATCAAAAGTATTTTCCCGAATGTCGGTAAAATCAGCCTTCTATAAAACAGTCTAAACAGTAGTTTTTTTGTCATATTTCAACTATCGTTTCCATCTAGCTGAAGATTCCACATTAGAAATATCTGAAATATGGAATATGTGTTTTGCTATACAACAGAATATTTGCGTGATGTTGAATTAATTATCATCTAACGGCGGAAATGACAGGGTGACATCAGTTGGGCACATTTGGTTTTGTCACAACGGCAAGAATTGAAGCAATCTATCTGATGTAATGGCACATCATTGATTTAAATGCCATCATATAATTTCGTTAATATTAAGTACTCTCATCAATAAACGCTTTGTCGGTATTACCTCAACGCCTGGAAGAAAATTAAGAATTCCATATTTGAAACAATTACGTGTTGGGAGCGCACATTGTACACATAAATTTTACTCTCATTAGTTGCATTTTTTGTTACGTTGTTTAATTGCGGACGGAAAGACGGGGAGTAGAAAATTTGAGTCAACAACTAGTGAGTGTTCGCACTGAGAACATGGGAAAAACCAGGTTAAAAAATGAACCAATTTATTCCGCTAAAACAACAGGAAACAATGTAAACGGACACGTTACATGCTACTGTCATGTTATTTCCCCTTTCTCATATTAATTCACCGTTTAATCGGTATAAAGCTGAACACAAGCAGTTACCTGTAGGCAAACGATATCGGCAACTTATAGGCGTAGGAAAGATTTCTTTGAGCTTTAAAACAACTATTGTAAAACGAGTATTCAGCCATCACGGTTTTTTTCAGTAAATGGTGTTGTATATAGTGTTACTGAATTGCTTCATTCACAGTCTGATACAAATACTATAATTTTCAAACAGTATAAAAATATCTACATAGAGACAAGTTTCATTTTAGTTGACTATATACGTATATAGCTTGTTGCTTCAATACTTTTTGTCAATATACAATGTCAGAAATATGTCATTGAAACGATGCGATAATTATTATTAACAAACGTTTTACCTTGATTTGCTGTAACATTTATAATTATTAGATTAATATTTTTACTATAATTCAAAAGTTCTAAGATTGCTGTATTTAAAAAAAACTGCTAAATATGAAGTTGTACTTGGTTGCTTGCATTGTTTTCACCGTAATCTCATCTTCGATGCAGTGTGAAGTGCCTTCACCGAAACAACCAATAGATTGGTCTAAGGTTAGTATGTCCGTGATTTATAAATATTATTATTATTGTCGCTTCTCATTGTCCTCTAGGTACTCCCGTAGTGTGTGTACCAGGTTAGGGTCAGGCCATAATTTTATTCTGATTTTCCTTATTTTAGTTCTATTACGAGTTCGGGGACTGTCTGTGTTAGCCAAATGACTATACCCCCTGCTCATAGGTTACCGCCCTTTTCGCAACTTGATGTAAAATAGGCGAACAAAATTAGTTACCTCCATATTGGTACACGCACTTCTGGAGCGCCGCTCTGTGTGCCTTTAAAGATCGGTGTAGTTCGTGATTTGCCCATTGAATTTTTGTTCCAGATCATTATGACAAGTAGTTTGCTGAATATTTGAAAATTTTGATGTTGGGAGTTGTACAAATTTGGTCGTGTCCGATTATGATGCCTTTATTAATGTCAAAAAAACACTGCTGAATGAAGTTGCAGTCATATGAGATGATGTCTGTGTTCGCAATAGATTTGAAAAATTCAAATCTATATATAAAAATAGTTTCACTTAATAGTAATATACTATATGACTTATTTTGGTGGTATTTTCATCTCCTATTTGCTTAGTAACAACCCAGCATGATTTCATAATGAAAGTCATTGCGAAAATGAAAAAATAAAAATATAAATGTATCACTATTTTTGATTTAAAAAGCTGTCGGTTTATTCACAAACTGGTTTCCCATTGTTTTTTGTTTTGTTTTTTTTGTAGCGCAAGCGTAAAATTATTCCACATGTGTAATTCTTCACATACACACACGGACGCATACATATAAAATTTTAAACTACAGAACATAGATTCTATATAGGTAGTATTATTTTTCTTTACGCCACTACGTCACGAAATTCAAATTAGTGATTGTTCATTGCCAAAAATATCGGAGAAAACTGGTGTCTTGTTATTGAAGCATGGAAAGGTAAATAAGATTATACTTTTTTGTTTCAAGATTCCAGAAACATGGTTTCTAGCTTTCACCTCGGGAGATGCGGTCATGGGTGAAATGGATTGTAATGTGATACACAATTTGAAGAAAACTGATGCAGGTTTCGCATTGGATGGATACTTTTATTCGAACGGGTAAGTTCTCTGTTGACTTAATATCGTAAAAAAAATTCAACAGTACAAATTGTACCCAGTTTGAATGATAATTCTATGTAATGTTTATACAAATATTTTATTTCTAATCTCATTTTGTAAGTTTGGAAAGTGTGTAGTCCTACATATCAATTTATATTGTACCCCAACTGCTATAAATAATGAATGACGCAGGAGGAACTCGAATTAGGATCAAATTTCAAGCCAACCCCACAACTTACCAAAATGAGATAGGAAAGCTCTTGGACTGATCTGTAAGAATCGGTAGCGAATGAGCAAATATCTCATAAAAATGCTTTGTTGGGTACAAAACGGTTGGTGGTAATATATTGATATACATTCGCAACAATGTCATTTCCAGAATATCAATCCTTGCTTCTCGTTAATTAGTGCGTTTTTTTTTAATTCTAGGGTATTGAAGGATAAAGAACACATTGTCAAAAAGATACTACCAAATGGCAACTACGTCTCACATTTATCTCATGGTGATTATTTGCTTTCTTTTCTATTTTAACAGACAACACCTCCGCTTTCTCTCTCTCTCTCTCTCTCACACACACACACACACACATAATAAAATATATTTAAAAAGGTTGATAAACGCCTTACTCTACATCTCTGTAATGGTTCTTCGGTGGTTCAGAGTGTCAACCAAATATGTTCGACATTGGTTAGAACAGGGGTTAGAATAGCCTCGAATAAATAAAATATAGAAAATATTCGACAACTGTTATTTGGGTTATCATAAACAAGAGCAACAAGCTGTATATTTTTTTGCAAATTGCATCCTTTATTTACGTACTAAAATAAATATAACTCAATTTAAATAGAGAAAGCTCGATAACGAAACTTGAACTAATTTATATTTGGATAGCATTATAGCGATGACGGAAAACTAAATATCAATTTTCTGTTATTTATGTTGCTTTAAATAAATGATCATTTGATACTATCGAATTTCTTATCAGCGATTATCTTCGTTATCTTTATTATATATTTTAAACAGGTAAATATGAAGATATTGCGAGAGGAAACATGCACAAAGCTTTGGTTGCTGAAGGTTTGTTTATATATTTTTTGATTCATGTGTAGTAAGAGGATATACTAAAAAACTGGAAATTAAAAAAATAACGCATGTTTTGCGCTATGATGAAACCTACTAAGTAGACAAGTAGACTACTAAGTAACCTCTACTAAGTAGACATCGAAGTGGAGTATTACGAAGCTATACAAGAAGTATGAATAAAAATTCATGATCCTATGTATAAAATATATCATTAAATTTCAAATTAGCAATTCATTGCCGTGATAAAAAAAAATTAGCTTCCAGTAAATACTCTTGTAAATATTAGTCAGTTGGGCAAATGACTATGGTGAATATAGACACAAATAAATAAAAGATTACAACCCACGACATTATGTTCTTGTTTTTAAATGCATTTCTTTAGTTGAGTATGCACACTTCCCTTTGCATCACAAGTTGCCGATATTAGTTTTGCTCGAGGTGCAAGAGAGCTTTAAGTTGATTTCCTAGGACAATCTAAACAACACTGGCTGTATTGTCGCTTATGCTGAATCTGAGAAACGTCATTTATTGTTGCAGTTGGGCGACGCGTAACAAGCTTTACATTTACAAAATGACATTTTACTTATTTGTTTATTTAGTTCAAACAATTAATTCGGAGAAAGATCAGACCTTACATTCTACCGACAGCAAAACTTACTTATACCATATAAGCTGCTCCGCCACAGGTACGTTGTTTGATAGTTAGAAAAACACTTAAATATAACACTCCTAGGTAGCCGTGGTCCGCCATATGGATAAGCCGTCTTATCGGCTTTCCTCTCCCCCGGGATAAATATGTAAATCCTATCCTATCCTATCCTATTTATGATATATATGAATGTTAAATGATACCTCTGCTGATTAATATGCACCACGTTTTAAAATTTGGATCGTGTACAACAATAATCGATGATGACGACAATCTTTTTTTGCTGAAAACCTTTGAGATCAATTCGAGTTTTAAATATTTCATTGGCCTTTAAACTACGATTGTTGAAAATTTATTTTCAGGGGAATATATTGTTTGGTGCTACACATCAAATCCTAATCCGGATCTGATGACTCTTTACAACGCTTTCAAAGATCTTATAAGCTACGGGATAACGCCAAAGAATTTCCAGCCTTCTAAATGCAATCAAATAAACTTTGCAGAGAAATAAAAGTTTTAAACTGACTATATTACTCGGATGACATTTTTTTGACTTTGAAATTTCATGAAAAAAAAAAAAAGATTAAATTTTGAAAGTTACTTTCTGATGACATCTTAAATTTTTGTTCTGAATATATAAAGGAATAGTAATGCCAAAAAAAATATTACACTATTAAAATGCGTTTCATGTTTTTATCATTACGGCTTTCGCTGGTTGTGTGACTGGCATATCATGTACTCATGTTGTATTAAACAGATTATTTTTGTTGTTATTCTCTCAGTACAGTATCTGTGTTTTCTGCTATATTTATGTTTCCCTATTGAGCACAAGTCCATAAATATATGACAAACGATTTCTTGGTTTCTAATGGTCCAACCCCATGATACGACCATAAATTAGAAAAATCATTCTTATGAACCCCCAAACATATTTTTAGCTGCCTCGCCGTTCTGATACAGAGCACTTATCAGACAGTAACTGTAACAATCTTTCCATGACTACGTTTAAACTGAAGTAAACATTCAAAAAGATCTAAATAGTTTGGATCGTCAAATTTTTTTTATTGGGACTGCCAAGTCGTTGTGATGTCCATAATTTTATCAAGCACACGAAGCGGGTATTCATTCTAGCCAGGTAATGTAGTAACAAATTCTCACTACTGCACCGTAACATTCAATTGCATAAAGAAGGAAATTACACAAAATCTTTATTCAACTTGTAGTAGTTCAATAACATACTCGCAATGTTTCAAATTACTGATTTTCTGATTCAACTGTGAATATTCAAAACGAGACATTATTTTATAAACATATATATATATATATATATATACAATTCAAATTTGTGCATGATTCGTTGCTTTTTTTCTATATGTTATTGATGACTTGTCAGTTTCTTAAATAACTTGAGTTAATATCAACAATAATTATAATGAAACGTGCTGTTTATACATCAAACAAACAAAAAAATATTCAGTTTTTTGAGGGAATAAAGAGTGATATTATTGAACACTTTTTTGTGATTGTGACATCACGCATTATTCTGTCCATGCAAAACCAGCGTCAAATCCATCGTATCTATACTCTTCTGTGTTTTCAAATGGATTCCAAATCCTAATGTTCTCTCCCGGATCTGTCACACAACTATTTTGACATTCATACATAGTGGGAAAGTTGTTGTCGTTGGGGTAGCAACCTCCCCACAAAAATGAATGGCATCTTCCATCATGCTTGTCATAGAAAAAACGACGAACGTTGTGTTGACATGGCCCTCTTTTCATTGGTAGAGAACATTTTGGAAAGCATCTTTCTTCACACAATTCCGCGGTTTTGAAGTTGTTCTTGTTACCATGGCAACCCCCGTACGCGAACTTTTTACAGGTTTGTGTGGAAGCATCAAAGTAATATTTTCTTTGGAGCATACGACACGGGCCAGGTTTCATTGGGAGAAAACAGATGTCATGATCTAAATCAGAAAATGTTTTGCATGATAAACGTGCTATCTTAGAAGGATTTTCATTTGCCATCGCGATGCTATAAAATGTTGCCAATAAGTACATATTAACTTTATATTCTGAGCTCAGTTTGCACTAGTGATATTTTTCTTTAAAATCCATTTTATGCCCTATGATGACTTTACAGCGCATATACGAAAAACCTTATTAGGAAAATGGTATTTTTACATACTTTTTCCATGTTCGTCTTCATTTCTTCGTTCTTTTTTTCGACACGATTTCTCGCATTCTCGTCTTGTCAAAAACCTGTTGGAATTTCCTCCGCAACCACCATAATGAAACATTTCACATCTTTGCCAATTTTCATTGAAATACCATCTTGAATACCAAGCTCTGCACTCACCAATCTTCACGGGTAACTTACATCGAGCCGGTGTGTCTTAATTATAGTGGATATTTCTGTTAGTTTTGCAAGAATAGGTAATAATATTGGCATAGATTTTGAGATACGTCTCTGTCTCAGTGATCATGGTCGATTCAGAAGAATTGCAATGTTTTATAAAACCGAATATTGGAATTTTGACTGCAGGTTTTCCAGCAAATGATCATCATTGGACTCGCTTGTTTTTTAAAACCGTGTCAATACATCATTTGGCCTATGGTTCGCATAGATATAAAGTAGAGAAATTTGGTCAGGCGCGAATTTTTAAAATGAAAACTGAGTGCTAATCGTCATAGAAATATATATTAAGCGCTTTCATTTTGCCAAGATTAAATTGAGTGCTTCTCACCTTAAGCTTCAGAGGTTATACACATTGAGTTGGATTCGCTCTTATAAAAGAAATCAGTATTTCACCCGGCAATGCGATAGTTGTCCATACTCTTGTCCAGGCACCGGCAACCTTTTGTCGCTCGTGGGCCAAAATTAATGGTTGTAAGTCATTGGCGATCCACACAAAATTTTAGAAAGTTCAAAACCGAACGTATGGTCGATGAATCACAATTTTTCACACAGATCAGAAGTTAAATTTAGAGCAGCGCGCGAAGACTGCGCCAACTTGCGAATTCAACTTGGTCGTCTTACTTGAAGAGAAAAAGTTACAAATGACATTTCATGTGGCACTTTTTGTTGCATCACGCTTTTCCAAATGGGATGTAGGATGAAGCCACGATTAAAACATTGCATAAATGAGAATCACTAATCCGATTTCTCAGCTTGTTACTTCCTAATGTTCATTTTTGAAAATAATTGTTCGCATGCATATGTACTACAAAACATCGATGTGAATTTTTTTGCATGGTTTGTCAAATTTGGATGGAGTTTTCTATGAAGAAGATACTTTTAATAAAAGAGGTCAAGCAGTAATACATCTCCCAAATAGAATATAGATTTACTTCTTCATTGCATCTCAAAAAATTCCATTTGAATATTTTCTGCGCCATTGAACCCTTTGCACTTCTGAACCCTCAACTTTTCTGCGTTAGGTTACCATTTGTCTAATTATAATTAAATTATAGACCCATCAAACGATCAATTGTGAATTGTATACTTGTTAGATTATAATATAATTTAGTCTACACATGTCATAGAATGAATTCTATTACGTGAAAAATATCATCGTCAAAACAGCAGTTTTATTAATATAATTCAGTGAAGCGTGGTGGACCGGGTTACATTACTCCGCGGGCCGTAGGTTGCCGACCCCTGCTCTAGTCTATAGCATGTATTTTAGCAGCTTTGAAGTAACTGGGGATTGTAAAAGTATGTCGTTTTAAAAAGTGTCTTTCACCTTCAGGGATGCTTTCTATTTTTAATATTAGTAGTAGTAGATAGTGCGGACAGTAGTACATACAAAAAAGTGACATCTTTTTTTGATTTCGTTTAAAAATATGAACGACAACGTTGCCCTTACAATATACATGTAGTAATTCACGAGATATTATTTTTTTTAAATTGCTAGTTTTGAACTCATTATTACGCTTCGTAATGGAGCATGTCACATTTGAATGAGCCGTGTTAATTTAAAAAAAAGTTAATGTCAGGGTAAACAGCTGCGTTTGAAATATTGAAGTAATAGTCAAGGTTTCATGCTGATTTCTGTAATTCGTGTCCGGGTGGAAATGTTACGTCATTAAAAATTTATTGTGACCTTCTGGAACTTGAAATTATCAGCGCCTTTGTAGCGCATTGAACTAGACCTAACATCTGTTTGTACGATCTTCGTGTCAAAATAACATTGCGGAAATAAGGCAATATGAGCCCGATTAATGACATCAATGCCAGATAAATGCTATCCAGCAGGTGTTTAACTTGACACTAAAAGTTGAAATATTGTAAGTCACTGTTATTGCTAAAAAAATTTCCCATGACTTTAAATAAATTTAATTGCAAAATAAATTGGCACATGTCCTTCGTTGTCACGCTATCTGAAGAATCTTTTGAAATCTTGAATATATTGATGGTAAAAATGTCGAGCAACACACTGGGAAAAAGAGACAATGCAATGATGGGTATGAGAAACCATATTCAAGAAATAAACAAAATTGTTCTCATATCGTGGGAGAATAATGTGGACTGTTTCATACAGAGAGTGTCGGCAGTGAAGATTTCACTGATTTGAAGATTTCACTGATTCACTTCAAAACATTTAGGTACCAACTATCACGCTCATGCAATATGTACAAGAAGGTACCACGCTAGTACCAGTAATGCATTATCTGAGTTAAGTGTTCTCATACGTCATGAAAAGTGTTCCCATAAATTGAAATAAACGGCAACGTTTTGGTTGAAATATTGGATTTTTTATCACCCAGAGTAAATTAAAAACAGTACTAGAATTCTTGCAACTATTTTCATCCCTAGGTACCATAAATTTGGAATCGTAAAAAAAAGCAACGTTTTCTCAACGACAACCACAAACCCTACTAACAACAAAAATAATGACAATTTGGCTACTTCGACTCCAATAAGTTCTTGGAGAACATAAGGGTATAACATGTTCCAGTGCAAACGTAAAGATCTGATCTTGAGTATTTGTGGTTCAACAAATCCTGATAAAATTATATTTTGTATAAAATATAATCTGGTAAAAAATGACTAAAACTTAGTATACCCATGCAATCAGCATTGCAGTTACTTTAGATACCATGCAAGCATAACCACCTTTCGATGAGTTACATGTTCATTACACCCTGTATCAGCTTGATAAAAAATATTGCTTTCATCGAACATTTTTTAAAATCTATTGTAAAAAAATACTTAAATATACTGTAAATATACTGTATTGTGAAAAATTCCTCATTCTCACGCAATACTTAATCTAACATTTGAAATACTCGGATAAATAGGATAGCAAAACAAAGAAAAAAAAACAGGATTAAAATATCAGTAAAATAAATTCTTACCGTGTATGGAAGATACGATCGTTAGATAAGAGATGAACAGCAAAATTGGAACTCCATAAACTGAAATACTCATAATTTTAAGCAGATTTCTGTCTGAGAAAATATAAAATAGTACTTGAACATTTTGTGCATAAACTCGGGCACAGTACTTCTAACATAGGTAGCCAACAGTACAATAAACTTGAATTGTAACTTGATCGAAAACCTAACCAGTTACTCACGAATTACAGAAATATGAACTACTAGCTGCCTGTACGCTTTTAATGTGTCAGCGTTGCTGTTATTGCAATCGAGAAGTTTGAATCGAGTTATGAATGAAAGGTCTTCCAAGAAGGTCCAGTTCATTGAAACTGGTCATTACGAACTCGCTCATTCCAAATTTGTATGAGCGACTATTTATTACTTCCTCATCAATAACTATATTATGTTGTTTAGCATTGGGCAAAGATGGTTTGCTTTTGTATATCCATGAAACTTCCTAAACATTTTGATTACTTCCTCCATTTCATCAAAGTTAAAAGAAAGTAATAAAAATATGGAATGCATAATATTAAATGAATGTGTAGTGTAGGTCTTTCGATGCAAAAATGGGTTATGGCTTTAATATGAATTATATTTATTTTTTGGAATATGCTGGATATATGAAAATCCGAATAAACTTTGAATAAATAATTTTTTGACAAATATTTGGTAGTTTCAATTTCCAATAACCCAAGTTTTATTTTTTGATAAAAACTTTAATACATGCGCTATACGCAAAGAACAACTATGGCACAAAGAATTGAAAGGACAGTTATTTTCCACATATTCAGACTATCGTGTCAATATGACCATGTTTTCCCACTGAATTTGAATTTCAAATAACTGGTTGATACTGAATGTTTTGCACTCTTACATTATATCATAAAATTTCAAGTCCAAGTCAATATTGTTATTTAGTCTAACCCAGCATTTAGCCAGGTGTACAACATACTGGTGATTATTTTCTAAAGATATGGGGGGTTTGACTATCGTATCGGTAAACAACAATTTTCCCACGACTCAAAACAAAATTGTAATAGTTTGCAAATGGAACGTTATCACGCATCTGAGGAAAAAAATCATTATGCAAAAAGTATAAAAACAGTTGTCAGAAATCACGAAAGTCGACAAAAATATTTCATGTATGAGAAGCGTAGTAAGATATGAAGAGATTCCGAGTTGCATTTTAAAGCAATAAACTTTTGAACAGGTCTGGTAGACTCAAAATCCTGTTATTCTGTGATGCCAGCCGCGCTATGCAATTTTATTAACTCCACTAACTCCTGCAAATGTAACCAAATACTTGTTACTGGCTTAGTTTATGAACCCAAGTCTACTGGAGCATGTAGGTTATTTATTCAAAGTCGCAAATTAAAACAAAAAATCAGAAATACTTTTTTCAAATAAACATTAAAACAACATCAAATAACCTTTGGCAGTGTGTGAGATCTGTACCACGATTGAGATGACTTGAAAACACGAGTTGAACGTTGAACATAAGACGTTGACCAACTAGTTTTGTGCAGAATTACTGGAGACAATTGTAATTGATATTAAACTCACTTGTGTGAACCTTAGTACTTGTCATTTTGAAATAATTCTGACATTGTGTAAGCTTCAATATGCTTGGGCTGAGTTTGAAAGCTAGCAAACACCTTACACGAAAACGAACAAGGGCATTTTTCGTCAAGGAAAAATTATTGGACGCAAAGTGAACCTCTGGATCGGTTTGTTGGATTGTTGTTGCTGTTGGTATTCCTCATGTTGTCGTTGGTGTGAAAACATCGCTGCTACAGGACTAGTTACTCTGACATTTTTAGTGGTTAAAGATTGTTGTTATCGCTAAAAGACTACAACTTTTATTTATGTCTTGAATTTCTGTAGATGGGATTCGTTTTTTTAATTTAAACGTTCGCGTGATGATGTCATCAACATCAATAACTGAGTTTTTGTTAAGGTTATAGAGATATATAAGATATAGAGATAGATAATGTAAGAGATATGATGCTACTTTGGTTTGGTATTCGTGCTCATATATTTGAGCATTTCTCTCATGTTTCAATTAGGAAAATTTGGTTAGTAATAACTAGATTATTCCTCAATGATTTGCTGATCATATTTTACATTGCTTTCTTTTTGAAATATATATACAATATATATACAAACAATTTAATATATATTTTTCAATTATATCAAGATTCTTGAGCAATTACAAGAAATAAATACATTAAATGGAGAGGTTCATCGCTGAAGGCTGTCCCGAAGAAAATGAGTTCGAAATTGCACAACCAAGTTCTGAAGATTTGCGTATTTGGAGCAACAAAACAATCCTTATTTTTTCTAGGACTGTTTCGGTAAAAGAATCTCCCGAAGATCGTAACTACTGGCATCTGGAAAGAACAAAACATGACAATATGGTTTTTTGGAGTTTTTATCTCATGCGTGGCTCTAAGAAATATTATCTTACGTTCTGTAAACGTGAATTAATGTTCCTGGCTGAGGACAAAGGGAAATCGGAAAACAGGTGACGGTCAATTAAAACACAATCTCTTTTTTCTTTGTTTTTTAATTTCGGTATTTGTTATATTTTACTTGTCCAATCTATGATTTCATTAAAGAGTAGAACAAGATGAACCATAAAACTTGATTCGTTTTGTCGTAGGTAGTTTATTTAATCTACTCTTTGTGTGATAATCGAAGTTTGTGTTCTAGATTGTTTCAATTACTCTTGCGATCCAATGGGAGTGTGTACATCAGACAGGGTCATTCTGGTTACCACCACAGTCAGACAAGATTTTTGAAGACCGACCAGGAAAATCATCTTGTTATGGTTCCAGAAACAAATCTCGGGACAGAATATGAGTGGTTTATATTGAAAAATCGCAGTGACATAGAAAAGTAAGTAGTCGATCTTTTGCGTACTTCAAACTTCGATAATTCTTTTCTGCTTCTTCATACGATAAGTGTTAATATTTCAGTGCCACCAAAATCCTCCATTATGTTGAAATAGTTGCCTCCCATGAATCAAAAAAGTGGATAAGTCGAGGTGTGCTTCCTCATTCCGAGATTCAAGTGAATCAAACCGGCATCAAGCATGAATGGGAAGTTACAATAGGAGATAAATGGACGTTTGCCGCCGGACGTTATCACGCAATTCAAACTACAATTAGTGAGATTGACGTAGTGCACTTGGAGGAAGTTGCTGACGAAAATCAAGAAAGGTTGGTTATATAATATTTTAAATGACACGTCTTGTTTTATTTATTTTCCTCTCTTAATTTTTCTCCCCCTGTATGATATTCCTTTGGTGATCTTTTTACTTTGTCTTTTTCAGTCTTCATTAATTATCATTTGAATACAATTGACAACAGTTTTATACTATTTTACAGTCGATTGTTTCCTGCGGAGGGAGTAGAGTCAGTAGAGTACTTGTTTCAATCTCCGTCCAATACTGAGAAATATCTTGCTCTCGGCAATACAGTCGTTGTGTTGAGACCTGGCAAGACCAATGCTACGAGATGGCAACCAATAGAGGCGCGAATATCATATTTCGGAGAAAATGACGAAACGTTATTTTATCCTCCTGTCGGTGGTCGGCGTCACTCTTCCTCCTCCTCTTCATCTTCGACATCCTCCTCTTCCTCGTCCTCTCCTCCTCCTCCTCCTCCTCCTCCTCCTCCTCTTCCTCGTCCTCTTCTACCTAAACGTAAATTTAAAGTATGAATTACATGTTGCAGGTTCAACGTAAATATTGTACTATTTTAACCTTGTTTTAAATTTGGTTCAATTCCGGCAAATTACATCAATTTAACTAGTCGAAATAAAATGCTTAGTGTATTTTGAACACATCCATTAGTTAATCCAAATTATTATTTCAGTATAAAACAACTGAATGCTATTTATATATATATTGGCAAATATGAGTTACCTTCATTTTCTGATGGCTAATTGTACTATCGTAGGCCTTTATTTGGCGCAATGCTGTCGCATTGATTTCAAGCATTGCTGAAGGTTTGCCTCGACGATTTAAAAGCCTAATGGTTTCCAATAATTTTATCCCTGATAAGGATCTATATATATATATGTTCAATATGTTTCAACTTGTGACGACTGAAGAGTGTAGTATGCTCATCATATTTATTTGCTGATGTATACAATATCCGATACATCGAATGTTGCTCAAGGGTTACTTTTCATTGTGTCGAATGAATATTCTTTGAGCTAATGGTATTTTTGTATTGGTATAAAATATTTAAACTCACATATACTCCTATCTGCAATTGATTTTGTTTTATTCATGTTCGTTTTTTTGTCAGTAAATGAACGAATGGTTTATTTCAACATGTATTAGCTTTTCATCAATAGCTGTATTATTCTTGTTTTTGGTGGTATTATTTCAAAACCAGGTTAAACCTGCTTGATATTTTTTATTTAATTAATCTATCACATATATTTGTAATTAGTCACAGGTAATACTAACAATAAATTCAACAGAATAATGGAAAGTCAAGCGTATGGTATCTTCATGTATTCTATATAAGTGGTTTCTGAATAGGCAGACAGGCTTTTTTATTCTATAAAAGATAGTTAGTTGCTTCCAGTCATATTTAGCGTAATTACATTTAAAAAGAAGTTTCGGAAACTGATCTTTCAATCCGATTCCATGTCCAATTTATGTGTGTTGCCATAGGCAACTTGACCCTCTGAAACTCCTATGTCTTGTTACTTACCAGTTACACGTTTATTTGCTGAGTATTATGAATACTTTTTCGCGATTGTGAGACATTGATTAAGCCAATAAACGCTTGTGGTAGAAGGTAATAGATCAGAGAGAAAGCAAATAGCAGGCATCATCTTTTTTGCATCCATGTTGGCAGTTATTAAATCGCAACTGTAGTATAGTCTACTCTAGACCAAGGTTTCTCAAACTGCCTCCACCTCCGCTTGGGGCGACAAATTGATTTTCCGATGTCCCATAGACAAAGGTCTTCAAAAGGAGCGTACGGATCATGCAAGTTTGAGAATAACTGGTTTTGACAGAACACTAGCCACTAGACCCTGTAGAAAAAGATCGATCGGTTTTGAATTCCAAATTCGAA